TCAGAGCAGTGACAAACATCGCCGCCTAATTTAGTAGAAGAGAAGAGACCCTTCGTCTCCGCCTATTTCCAATTCTCTCTTTTAGAGATCGCTTTTCTCGGAGAAATCTGGAATCTCTATCGCCACCAAAATGCCCTTCCTGTACCATCCTCCACTTTTCCGGTATCGCCTCTGTAAGATTCCTTTCTCCTTTGTTTTCTCATAACTTGTGGTTTGTTTGTTTGTGTAAAGCTCCGATCTTTGGTTACTACAGTGTGTCAACATTCGACTCTGTCTGAAACTGGATTATACGTCGTTGTCGAATACCTTAGAAATCTGGTGAATTTGAAAATTTTGTTGTCTTTGAGCAATTATAGGTCGGTTACATCTCTATCTAGGTTTAGGATGTTTAAATGACCTTCTGTCAAATTTGCGTGATATCTTGAAGATTTTGTTATAAGTTTGGCAATCTAGAGATGAGAGGTTACGTTTCCTTTCACTGGATTCTGCAATGCAGCATGTTTGTGTGTTGATTGGTTACTTGTGCATTTACTCTGGATTGCTTCTGCTCTAATTGATTAACTTACAAATGTATTTGCAGTGTGATTTTTGCTGCTGGTGGTGAAAAGTTACTCAATCACTCTTGTATTTAATTAGCTGCCTGAAGTTTATCTAGAAGAATCGGTGTCCTATCCATCTCTCGTAATGGTTGTTTTTCTCTGCAACTTTTTATATCAGTCTCATTATTGAGCAGTCCATTCGGTTTCCCTGAGCAGTCCAGTATTGGTGTCTGGTCACTCTATACTGCCGCTCTAAGTCAAGCACCTCTTCTCCATTCACGATATCTTGAAGAAGAGGATACCCCCAATGGAATGTAATAAAGAAGTAGCTACGAGGGCTAGAGAGATGGCAGAGAGGAAATTTCTAGCTAATGATATTTCGGGGGCTAGGAAATTTGCCGTGAAGGCTCAGTTCTTGTATCCCGATCTTGATGGAATTTCCAAAATGGTGGCCACATTTGATGTGCATTTATCTGCCCGGAATATAATAAATGGGGAGATAGACTACTACGGTGTCCTTGGTCTAAATCCCGAGGCTGATGACCAAACAGTGAGAAAACGTTACAGAAAGTTGGCTGTAATGCTTCATCCTGACAGGAACAAGTCGATCGGAGCAGAGGAAGCCTTTAAGTTTCTTTCGCAGGCATGGGTTGTGTTCTCTGACAAGGCAAAGAGAGCTGACTATGACTTGAAGAGGAATATGGGATTGTATGAGGCAAGAGGGGCTTCATCATCAAAGCCTGCAAACAATGGATTTCAGAAAGTCGCTAAAACTAGTAGTAATACTACAAAAGTGAAGAGTTCAAAGAGAGGTATAAAAAGAGCAAGCGATGCCTCTGCAGCTGCTACTACTTCTGCTTCGGGCCATAAAACTACTGCTGAGGCAACCTTTTGGACTGTATGCCGCACTTGCAGAACACAGTATGAGTATCATCGTGTTTACCTAAATCAGAACCTCCTGTGTCCCAACTGTCGTAAGCCGTTCATAGCTGTGGAAACAGATCCTCCGGGTTCAGGTTCGATCCGCAAGACCTTTCACGAGCACCAATTCGACTCTATCCGTCACACAGCAGACGGAAGAAAGAAAAGTGTACCTGGAAGAGACAATAATGGGGTGTATGGTGAATATGATTCCTGTGAGTGGGGTGTGTTCACTGGAACCAAAAATGCTGTTCATACTGCGCAGACTGGGTCACGAAAAGACGATGTTGTGCGTAGAGAATATAACAAAAGGGTGTCTGGTGTTTCACCAACAAATCCTCCTAAAAGAAGAAAGGGTATGGATAATACAGTTGCTGGGGGAAACATTGCAAGTTATTTTGCTGCAAAGTCCAACAGCATGAGAGAATTTTCTGAAGATGAGCTGAAAAATGCATTGATGAAGAAAGCTAAGCCAGTAATCAGCAGAATGCAAGAATTATGCACGACTGTTGAAGAAACTGGAACTGCAGCTAATGGAAAGGGTATGGAAACTGAGGGTCACAATGCAGGTTCTTCAGAAAATGAAAATGCCATTAAATCATGCTGCGTGGACTCCATTCAGGATACTTGTATTGAAAAGGATTTGAATTCCTTGGGAGACTTGACGGTAGACGTTCCTGATCCAGATTTTTGTGACTTTGACAAGGATCGTACTGAAAAGTCATTTAGGGATAACCAGATATGGGCTTGTTACGATTTCTTTGATGGGATGCCTCGATCCTATGTCATGATACATAAGGTTTTTTCCGAAGATCCACTCAAGATGCGTATCAGTAGGCTTGCTTCCGTAACAAATAGTGAACTTACCTCAACGAAGTGGCTTGGTTTTGGTATTCCAAAAACTTGTGGAGATTTTCGAGTTGGGAAAACCCAAATCTGCAGGTCACCTTACATTTTCTCACACAAAGTAAAGCTGATCCAAGGCAAGCACGGAAAATTTCTTATATATCCTAGAAAAGGCGATGTATGGGCTCTATATAGGAACTGGTCCCATGACTGGAATTATCTTTCAAGTGGTGAAACAACTGAGTACGATATAGTCGAAGTAGTTGAAGGATATACAGATGAATATGGTGTATCAGTGGTTCCTTTGGTTAAAGTTGCGGGTTTCAAATCTGTGTTTCACCATCATTTGGATCCCAAAGAAATCAGAAGGATCCTAAGGGATGAAATTCCAAGATTCTCTCATAAGATACCGTCTTACTTGCTCACAGGCCGAGAAGCACCCGGTGCACCCAGAGGTTGTAGACAGCTCGACCCAGCAGCAACACCGTCACAGCATCTTCAGTATATCGATGATCACTGGTAAGGTGTAAAAGTTATCTTTTTGCATCTTGGTAATGTAATTTGCCTAAACATGAACCTGATGTTTTATTCTAATTTATGGGTTACATAGAATCTATTATGCAGTTTTTATTGTGTTTTTCTCTCTAGGGGGATAAAAAAAGCTTTAACTATTCTGAATATCTGAATTTGTCTAGCTATAAAGTAGTTTCAGGTGCTATAAATGAAAAATGAGCATGGAGTAATCAAAATCTGTTTCATGACTCACGCTCCTCGACCACAATTCGACGGCAGAGAGGGCAAGATTTACGCCTCGCTAACCACTTGACGACACGTTGTAGATGAAATTGATTGGAACAATGTGGGGCAATTTTGAGATTGTTTCATCATTGTCGTCGTTCCAACAAAGTTTGCTTGATAGATATGCACAAAGCAGTTGGAAAACTGTCTGACGGAGAGGCTTTCCTTTGGGAATTAAATATAAACAGAACTGTTTCTGAATAATCGATATGACATTGTGCAGATAAAATCGTATGAGAACTTTATGCTTTCACGAACTAGTAGTGATTCTTCTTTCAACTCAATAAATTCAGATTTTACAATAGTTTGGTAGATCAAACCCTTCTTTAATTTGCAGCTGTTTGATAAATTAGCTCCATTCATACATAGGCACATTCGTTATCTTCTTCACTCATAAGAAGTTTCTCTTCCTGCTCCACCCTTTGTAGCCATTTCAGCCCTAGATCGCACCCTGCTCTTGCAGCGATTTGGAACTGCTCTTTCGCCATCTCTAATGGATTTATCTCCAGGTTTTCTAGGTTCTTTCTTTTGGGTGGCGAAACTACCACCGTATTCAATCTTGTTAGAGATTCTGGGACTTTTGCACCTGTTAAGTTGACAGTTTCAGCAAGAAATGAAATGATATTGTGTTCCTATGATCTAGACAGCCTTCGTATGGATCTGATGCAAAAGAAGCACGATGGGTCTGTGCTAATAGAGGATTACTAACCTCTAAGTAAAAGAGATCCGTACGCTATAGCAGCACCGGCATGTCCCTGAACATATGTATGTCAGACTGTGGAAACTACAAGAAGAAACTTGCTCATTGCGATTTAAAATTTGACATCCAGTCAGACAATGCTTATTTCATCAATATTCCTAGTGGAAGATATGATCAGGCTTGGCCAGAGGTAAAACTTAAGAGGTAGTAATGTAGCAGAAAGAGAAAAGAATTGAGCAAAACAAGCAACTCTTTTGAAAACACTGCTTTACTGATACTGATCTACATACAAACTGGGGAGAGTGATTTTGGCAAGACATAATGTTTCTTACCTTCTCTGAAGCCCTGTGGAAACACCATATAGCTGAATCCATATCTTGCTTCATACAGTCTCCTGTCAGATACACTATTCCTAAAAGGTAGAGGGCACCAGGATGCAGCTGCAAGTTTACCAACTCCAGGTGAGATTTCTCGGATATTGCCGAATTTTCTGTCATACAATTATCTGTGCTGGAAAAAATCATTCATACCTGATCAACAGCATTCTCTATATAGTGAAAGGCTTGTTGATCTGACTGGACATGATCATTCTGAAAGAAGATTACGATTAGTATGAAATGCTGGGGCGGGTGGGAGAGAAAGATTAACAAGTTAAGTTTCTCATCTGCGGAAACAATGCTGCTCAAGAAGCGGTCAATTCTTAAGTAAGAGGAGCTCACTAAAACAACAATTGAACTGACAAAGATAAAGATCAAGCATCTCCATCTGAGGTTCCCAATAAATAACATTATATTCTCTTAGAGGCTGTGTCAAAACTGCAAATATAAACATTACTAACGGGTGATTACAAGTGAAAAATTGTAAGGATGACTGACCTCGACTCTTAAACGACACCCTAGCTCATATTGAGCATCTGCATTACCCATGTCTGCAGCTTCAACAAGCAAAGCAGCTCCGCTATGATTATCAAAGACAATAACGTATGGGTAAGATGAAAAACAAAAGCCTTTCCATACATGACAAAGTTCTTCCAAAAAAGCACAAAGCTAACTTCCATATTATTTGAAAGCTGTTGCAAATTCCGCGATAGCAAACATCAAGGTTTTGGAAACAACATCGAGAACCTAGCTTTTGGAAAACATCAAGGTTTATTCCATATACAACTCGAAGTACAGTATCAACATGATTGCAGTTTGACAGAAAATCATAGAGGAATTAGCTAAGTACTGATTTACTTACACAAGTTGGAAAACCAAGATTGATTTACTTACACAGCTTTACAGGCTCCAGGAACATGGTACTTCAAGTGCAACTTAGAAAGCCAATATCTAGCATGAGTGTTCAAATTATCAGCCTCGAGAGCAAGTTCAAAGTTCTCTTTAGCTCCCTGTAACCAAAGAAAACAAAGCAAGTGACCGAATTGCACTACATTCAAACAATTTGACTACAAATGGGTTTAGAAACTTATCAACCTCATGCTTGTACTACAAACCTCGCAACAATTAATTCAAAACTAGAACACAAGATTACTTATGGCAACACACAGAAACAAGACTTAAAAGAGTACCCTGAGGAGAGGGATGAGACGTCGATCATTGAGTTCACAGTAATCGATAACTCTGTCCACTTCCTTAATCGCGCTCCATCCTTTAGCTACGTACTCCATTGCCTTCTTGTTCCTGTTGTGTATTCCTCTCTGACCAAAACCATAAAACCACCACAAACGTAAATGAACGGAACCAAATACAATTTTCCAATGGAAAAAAGCAAAAAAATGTTATACTCGTTGATCGAGTCCTTGAAGCATAGCACGACCCATCTTCGATTCCGCGGCGGAGACGGCGGCTCGCCGGAGAATCAGGCGACGAAGCATCTTTAGCCGGAGAAAAAAACAAAAACCTAGGCAGGAGGAGAGCTTTAAAAAAAACGCTTTGCCGAATCTAACCTCCATCTCCGAGTCAAATTACAACTTTACCCTCGAGCCTTGTCCTTCCTTTGATTCTCTCTCTCTCTCGTCCAAGTCCAAGCTGGGATTCTTGGCCTCATGTATACAAAGAGAGCATTGTTTCGCAGAGCAAATTCTGCTCTGGAATCTCCTTCTTCCTCTGAATCGGTCATAAGGATCCGTAAATTTCTGAGCACGGCGGTTGAAAGGTTAGATTTTGGAGACCCTCATGGATATCGGGTCGAGGACTCATCAGCTACAAGTGATTGTGCCAAAGAATGTGAGGGAAGCCAGGAACGAACTGAGAGCTGTGGACAAGTTACTCAAAGTGTTGTTGAGTTTCAACACTCGAACAACAAGAGTCAGACTTTGGTTTTGAATCACGACCGGTCATGGCAGCAGAATCTTAGTATGTCTGATTATCAAGGAAACCGGCAAAATCCAAGCTCCGGGGCAAACTCTGGCTCGTCTTGGCATTCAGGTAAGACTTTTGATTGCAACATACATGACAAGGTTGAGGAATTTGATGCATTTTGCGACCAAGATAATCTAAGAATGGCCCTTAGTTCTATGAAAAAACTGGAAATGATGGGTCATTATTTGGATTTGGCTAGACTTTTAAGGTTAGCACAGCTATGTGGGGAAGAACAAGTTTTTCAGGAAGCCCATGATTTACAAGAAGCCAAGGTGGCTGTTCACAGAAAGATTAGTGCTTCAATTTACCATTTAGATGAGAACCATTTAAAGTATCATACTGACGTTGTGATTGAGGAATTTGATGCGTTTTGTAAACAAGGTAAGGTGAAAAAGGCCCTCAATGCTATAGATACATTGGCAAGTATGAGTCACGTTGTGGGTTTAACTAGACTTGTAAGATTAGCAAAGCGATGTGGGGAAGCAGAGGCTGTACAAGAAGCCAAGGCTGTTCATGGGAGGATTAGTGTTTCAGTTTGTCATTTAGATGTGAGTTCCTATCATGTACTGATAGAAATGTATTCCAACTGTGGGTTGGTGGATGAAGCATTGAGTGTTTTTGAGAAAATGCCTGAGAAAAACTTGGAGACTTGGTGCAGTATCATAAGATGTCTTGCAAATAACGGCGCGGGAGAAGACGCTATTGATATGTTTACTCGCTTTAAAAACGAAGGAAACAAACCTGACGGACAGCTATTCAGAGGAATATTCTATGCATGTGGTGTGCTAGGTGATGTTGATGAGGGATTATTGCATTTTGAGTCAATGGTAAAAGACTATGCTATCATTCCCTCCATGGAACATTATGTAAGCATCGTTGAGATGTTTGCATTACCTGGTTTTTTAGATGAAGCTTTAGAATTTGCTGAGAAAATGCCAATGGAGCCAAATGCTGAAGTATGGGAAACATTGATGAACCTTTCTCGGGTACATGGGGATCTAGAGCTTGGAGATCGGTGTGCTGAGATTGTTGAGGAGTTAGACCCTACACGGTTAAAGAAACCGTCAAGGGAGGGTTTTCTACCAGTTAGGGCATCAGATGTTGTGAAAGAGACTATAAAGAAAAGGCCGCAAGTTCATGGTCTTTACGGAATCAGTGGGCGGCATGAATATAAAGCGGGGGATACCAATCTTCCTGAGAACGATGAACTTTTCGAGTTATTAAGGAATTTAAAGAAGCATATGGTAGAGATGGGCTATGTCGCTCGTACAAAACTGGCTTTGCATGATGTAGACGAAGAGAGTAAAGAGGCTGCACTTCTTAGTCATAGCGAGAGAATAGCTTTTGCTCGTGGTGTTCTCAACTCCGCACCCCGTACTTCTTTCATTGTGATAAAAAATCTTCGTGTTTGTGGTGATTGCCATAACGCATTGAAGATTATGGCAGATATAGTTGGTAGAGAAGTAGTAATGCGAGATGTAAAGAGATTCCACCATCTTAAAAACGGAGCTTGCAGCTGTAGAGACTATTGGTGATTAAGGACACACCTTAAGGTGTGTCTATAATGTCTCTGTTGAAAAGTTTTTGGCTGTTTTGTTTCCAGTTCCAGTTCTTAGAAGCACGTTATGTCTGTGTAGGAAACTTTGGTGGGATGGAGAAACACAAAATAACAAAGACAAACATGTATCATAAGCAACAACTTTTGACCACGTCTTTTTACGGACATTTATATCCTTGAGCTTGTCATATTGTTGTCATAGGTCAGTCTCATTTTCTTGTTCATTTGATGTAGTCATGAATGCTATGTATTATTTCCTGTAATATTATCAAGGGACCTACAGTATTACCAAATGTTTCTGGGTTTTCATGTTATCACTCCTTTTTATTTGTTTGGCAGATAAAAAATGTAAGAGAAAGATATACTCTTGATTGAGTTTATTTCTTATATAATGATGTTTGTTGTCACATTTATACAAAGTCCAACTTTGTTTTCTTCTCAGGTACCATAGTGTTAGGTTTGGGTACAGAAATAATCATTCCATGAGCCATCTATAAAACTCTGATCTCCTAGTGGTGGAGGATATTCGACTGATGGGGGTGAAGGTAGTTGATCCTACACCGGTGTT